CTTAACTTTGATAAAGAATATCTCTTTGGTTTTGAGACTTTAGTCTTTGCAACTTCAGGGATCTTATCTATGCACAATCAGCTTGTAACACTCCAAAGAGATAGGAAAACTTGAAATCGCATCATATGACCCCTTTAATAATAATCTTATACTCAAGGGGAAAAGTGAAATGGTAATAGCCTAAATTTCCAATTTCAATTCAGATCAGTTTTTGAATATATTAATTTCCATCTGCATGAAAACAATTGTCTTCAAAACAGTACATATCAGCGTGGGAACTAGAGAATGGGCACCTAGAGAATACAAATAATTGCATCCGAAGTCATGGCCAAAACTTCAGACTGGGAATTATAAATGACAGTATTTCTGAGCCAACGGGAAGGTTCCTCACATTGATGGCAAGTTTCAAAACATTTACTCACAACCCTCTTGGAAGTCTAACAGCAGTGCAGATAACAAGTCCTGCCAATAAGGAGTGGACGTTCAACCCCAATGTTTTGTCACGCCACATCACAGTCCAAAGAATGTGAAACAGAAAAATCGATCATCCCAATTTCTTTCGAAGTACAACTGCCCTGGACAGCATCGATCCTGCCTGCTCCTTCCTTCTGTTGCACACAGAGCGGCTTTTTGGAGACACGTCGGACATGCTGTTTGTTTAGAACTTTCTCCAGACTGCCGCTCTCCTTCTCTGCCTCTCTCTCCTCATTTATTGAATGCACGTTACCGTCTAAGAAGCATAATTGTTTCTGTAATCAGGGAGCCATTTTATTCCCATGTTCAAATCGGAATCCTGTTGGGTGTATATATACCCTCTAATTGAAAGTATGAAAAGAGGTGGGATGAATTAAACATGTCTGCTACTATGGCAGGATGAAATACCTTTTGTGCTGCGGAAGAATTATTTATTTCATTCTCTATTCCCCCTTGTGCAGCTGTAGATATGACAAGCTTCTGACAGTTCCTGCTGTGTATACTAACAACCAGTGTGTATTTGCTACACGTGCTATCATTAGCGCCAACAATCCCCCTCGGAGCTTGGTTAGAGCGGGTGCGTTGCTTGCGAGAATTAAAGATTTCTCTTGACAGAGAATAATGAGTGTATTGATTGTCCTACAAGATATTTACCACTCTCCACTCTTGAACTGCAAAGGGCATCGACAAACCAAGACCAAGCAGTATCCTCCAAATCATGGTGCGGAGATTTTAAAAGGGTCGTTCTAGACATAACCTGCACGATCCGTTACTGAATTATCCCTCTGAATTTACAGCTTTGTGTAATGTGCTGGAGGAGACAGTAAGTTAATAGCTCTCATTCTCATAGAATGTGCTAGGGCTCAGGGTTGCCAAGTCCACGGTTTTACCACCGTAGCGCCATTTAGACAAAGAGGGACCCCATCTCCCTGTAACACGATTTTGACGGAGCCTACCATTGAAGGAGGGGAAAACCGCAGAAAAAACGCGATTGGGCTGGTTTTGGGCTGGGTTTGTTTCGCAGACCTGGCAACCCTGCTAGGGCAGTATATACTGCTGGTAGAAATGGTGATAGTTATTCTGCTATACTGTGATAGAAACAATAACAAACAAAACCTAACAGGTTAGGTTAATATGCACAACACTTCTTGCTGGGTTAGTTTAGCCCAGGGGTGTCCAATCCTGCTACGAAAGGACCAATATCCTGCAAAGGTTAGCTCCAACACACTTTTCTAGAAGTTTCTAGTGAGTCTCAAGACCTTGATTTGTTGGTCAAGGTGTATTTAATTGGGGTTGGAGCCAAACTCTGAAGGACAGTGGCCCTCCAGGAACAGGTTTGGACACCCCTGGTTTAACTCAACATATTTACCCAGCTCTGAGTTGCCAGTTACTTTTAACAAAGCCAGCATTAGGGTGTATATTTCGAATTACACCATTAGTGTAATATAAAATTACTCATACCGTTATATAAGATTTTGGTCATACCGCCCACCTCTAAACTTTTGTTCAAAGTACAAAGACAAATCAATAGTTACTGTCACTAGATTTTCCCAGTGTTGATGCCAGTTATTTGATATATGAGATATGTGTTATTTTTCTCCATGCAGGTGACGACCACTGGCAGAGCGAGCTACTATGTGTCCTATCAAAGAGAACCTTTTGTACGCATTAAAATCCCCAAATACTCCCTGCCCAAGGTAAGAGACTACCTAAAATTTCGAATGAATTAGGTAGAGTAGACAAAGTATTTTCACTAGACAACTAGATTCGGAAGTAAGATAGACAAGAGGAGAACATACATTTTTATGATTCGATTATTTATTAGCTTTTCATCAGCACTCTGTAGTTACTTTGCTAACCCAGTGGTTTTGGCCTTTATAATGACACCTATTGGTGTGGATGAATGATCAGTCAAAAGTAAAGGTTTTTAGTTACTAATGCTGAGCACGTTTCTGCACATTCCTGTTGAAGAACTGAAGTGCAAAATATTTTCACTTGGCTTGCTTTGGTCAGTTGGGTCATGGCTCATGTTCAGCTGAGCCCTGCGCAAACATATAATCCTGTAGATCATGCCCACCGAGAACTAGCAGGGGTCCTCGCTAATGACTTCTGCTTTCTTTTTTCTCACCATCAGCTGTCTTTTCCCCTCTTTTTCTTTTTCTGTTTTCTAGGACATGCATATTGTGAGCACAGATCAAGGTCAGGTTTTCACCGCCGTCCAGGAGTGGAACCAGAACGATACCTACAACCTGTACATATCTGACACGCGTGGCATATACTTCACCTTGGCCCTGGAGAACGTCAGGACCAGCCGTGGGCTCGGAGGCAACAGCATGATCGACCTTTACGAGGCATGACTTCATCACTAACTTGTTAACAAGCTAACATTAGGCTTCAAGTCAACGGCTTCATGCTAGATGCTCATTACTCCTCGGGCTGCATTAGAATTCATGTCAGACGCTTCTTCTCGCCCTGGCACTCAAGCATAGACCACATTATCTTAAGCCTCTGGGGAATTAGCAAGCGTAAATGAACGATAGCAATGAAGACAGAGAGATAAATTGAGTTGTAGTTAAATGTTGTCGAAGTGGGAGAGGAGAGAGATCGCTGATTCAATGGGAGCTGCTCGTGTTTTGTGTATGACTCCTTTTTAAAGGGATCCTATCACGAGGAATAAAGTTTCCCTTGATCTTTCGGGATAAAAGATTTCATTGTACCAAGAAGACATATCGTAACTGGTTTCCCTCTGGAAAATTTTGGAGCATAGCTGGTTTCTTAGCCGGCTTAAGCTCTGTTAAGAAATACTGGTACTTCAGAAAAGAACAATTCTCAAATTCAAAACATTTCAAATGATCTTAATTGCTCCAAAGCACATTTTTTATTATGTCTATTCAATAATTTGGAGTTGTTTTTTGTTTGGTTTTGTTTTGTTTTGTCTAAAGATCTAAAGAAGCTTGGGAGTCTTTATTATAGGCACAAGCATCAGTCTTAAGGACTTATTGGAGACTTCTTAGAGAGAAAAAAAATTCTTATTGGAACTCTTATAAAAGGTAATAAAAGAAAAGAACATACAACAAGTGAGACTAAGTGAAAGGATGTGCCTTAAACACCTCTCAGCGGTAGTCTGCATTATACTTCTTTTGGGTCAGTGGCATCGTTCTGCTTTCTTCTTTTAATAAGAGTAGGCTATTAGACTATTTTTGTTTTTTAAATCTCGTACCAAGTATGAAGTACTAAAGTGAAGTAGTTTCAGGAATATTCGGGTCTATGTATATATTAATATTGGTTTAAATTTAATTGAATTAAGTATTTTTTATTTATTTATTATTATTATTTTTTTTTTTTTACTTCATGCCTTTCAGAACAATATTACGTAAACAGGGGAAAAAAAATCATAGATTGGTCTAACAAAGTAATGAAAGTGTACAGTCTATATAGCCTATATATATATGAATATAAATTTTCCCTTTAGACCTTTATGATTTGCATTCATTAGTATGCTAAATAATAAAATCACTACTCACTAGTTTACCACAATCGTCAATCGATATTATTTTGTGAGGATAAATCCTCACTAGAAAACTTTTTGTATCGGAAGTATCAATATTTCAAGATCGATCCACCTGTCTGTGGCCAGAACTCTCACACTGCCTGTAGTTTTTCTGTAAGAATAGATTTGCCAATTGAGTTCAAGGAAACCATTACTCCTTCATGACAGTATTAACATCAGAATATGGTCGCTCTTAGCATATACTATATCATATTGCTTTAAAATTAGCAGCCTGTACCAAGCACAAAAAAAATTTGAGAAATGAAACATTCGCTTCCCTTGTCCAAGCAGCTAAAAATAGTCTCCATTAGTGAGTGCAAGCAAGGATGGTTTCATTAATGCATTGGTTATGATGCATTTCCCCACTTTTGTGCCAAGGCTGGCTCAATGCACGCTCACCCTGCCAATACTGAATCAGCAGTCCATCCATATCTCTAATAGATTGCAGCAGCCTTCATTAATGCTTATTGAAACCTGGCTTTTTTCACTGAAGCTCCAGTTGGAGCCTAAGTATAGATGTGGTTCGTGACTGGACGTTTGTCATATTTATCTCTCTATTGATCAGCGAGAAGTGGGGTTGCTTTACTTTTATATATTTTTATAACAGTAATGATTGATAATGGATATTTTGGTTCTGGCACACACTTCTTTGGTGTTGGCATCAGCGGCCTGCTGCCCTGTATGCAAAGGACACGCACTGCTTACCTTGGCATCACTAGAATTCAAATATACACTACTGTTTAAAAGTTTGAAGTCAGTTTTTTTTTTACATTAATATTTTATCCAGCAAGGATTCATTAAATTCATCAAAAGTGACAGTAAAGACTTTTGCATTACAAAAATTCATATTAAAAATAAAACTAAATAAATAAAAGAAATAATTTCCACAAAACTATTAAGCATGATTTCAACAAAAA